TCTTATTTTGTCACAAAGAAGATGTGTGTTTCACTTAGCTCATGACTTCTCTCTCTTCTCCAAAGGTCCATATTGGTTATCTTCCTAACAAGCAAGTCCTTGGCCTCAGCAAACTTGCAAGGTAGGTATAACTGTGTGTGGTGAATAGCAAAATAGGACCTGCCCCTGGATGCTGAGATCTATCTCATCAAACTTTCTCTACCAGTGTGGCTCTAACTTGGAAGTCACATTGCAACTTAAAATTAATAGTCACAGAGGCAAACAGACTTAGAGGGCCTGAAACACAAATGTCTGTCTTCTCATCTCCGCTGCTTGCCCCCTCCCCTGCCTCCCATTCCTTCTTCTACCTGCACAGCCTTGAAGTCTCAGCTCACCTCATTGTCCATAGAGCTTTCCCTGACTGGAGAGGAGCTGAGGTTACCTTCAGTCCAGCCCCAACCTTTGTAGGGAGAGTTAGCTAACAATGAGGGGTGGAAGAAGAAACGTGGGCAGGGGTGGAACTGCACTGAACTGTTTTCAGACTTTCAATCAAACCTCTGTGTGGGGCCCTGGTCTCAACCCTGTCTTCCTCTGTACCTGGGTGCCTCCGAGCATCTGTCTGGGGTCCTGCAGGCTGGTCAGTTCACCTCGAGGCTCTTGCCTCTGAAGACACCAGACTGTGCTTTCCTTGGCTTACTCAGCTTTGTTCCAAGATAGTGCTCACTCACCTCTTGCCTGTTTCTCTCTTGTCTGCTATGGTCATTTTTTTCTGTTTTTTTATCCTGTGGGCTCATGCCATTTAAAAAAATTCCTTTGAAAAAAATTACCATTTTTATTTGGGTTTTAGGAAGAGGAGGTGGTATACGCACGTGGTTATCTATGTTTAGCTGGAAGTCAGTGTTCACATATCTCTGAGAGGTCCCAGCCACAAATATTTTATTGTCCATGTATATCCTTTTTTGTTGTGATTTCTTTGTATAGAGTTAGTGAATCTTAGGTGATGGGGGAAATACTGGGAGGTGTGTTTGTGTGTGTGTGTGTGTGTGCATGTTGAGAGAGAGTTAAGGAAAAAGGTAGGTAATGAATATACAGTCAAGTGCTACCCCCCTTTTTTAAATAACCAAGCTGAGTATGAATACCTTGATTGAGATTACAATGATCATATCGCAGTTGGAATAAATGAATCTCTATGACCAACTGGCTATTCTGTGGCTCTATCTTGTCCCTGGTGCTTCTCTACTTAGACACTGGGATTTGTGGCAGTTCTGAAATGGTGGTCCTGATTGTTGGAATCTATAAAAACCAGCCCAGCATTCTAGCAGCTGCCCTTCACAGCATTCTTTTTACTTTCTTTTCACTTCCATTTTCTCATTCATTTCCTCTAGAGATTAGGGAGAAAGGGGGTAGAAAAGAGAAATTTAACTCCTCTGGTTTCTGACCTCATTTCTGCTCAGCGACCTTGCCACCAGACAGGGCTACTTGGTACCATGGAAAAATGGTATTATGACTTAGCAGTAATTGCTTTACTGCAATAAGGCTCTTAGCACAAATCCGGAAATATCTTTGCCCCTTGCAGTGATCTGTCCCTGGTGGCAGTGCCAAGGGGTGGCTAAGAAAGGGTATTGATAGTGATTGGGGATAATTAATTATACTGTAATTTCTATTAGCAACTCCTTCCCCAGTAACTTACTCCCAAATAATAATAAAGTAGATTTCATATCAACTGTGAATAAAGGTATCTGCTAAAATTGGTTATTAATACCATTTTAGAATGTACAGTCTAAGTAAAATCAGCATGCTTACTGTGCAATTATAGTTGT